AAAATGTGCACATTCGACAGAAGCTATTCATCCCAAAAGAGAAATTGCAGGTCAGCAAGTCACACTGGCAGGTGTGGCTGACATTCACACCCATCAGGAGAGCTCAAGTGCTATAGCCGTAAACAAAAACGGACACGTTTATCACCCACTGTGGCGGTGTATCCGTGCAGGCAAGATGCTTCAAACAATAAAAGCGAAAAATAAATGAAAAACAATCTTCAGAACTCTGTATGAGTCAGACAGGCAGTTTTCATGTATTGACTGGCTCAAAATACAGGAAACCAGCAGCAAGAACCAACAAGCATGAAGAGCAAGCACTGCAGAGAACATACATTTCTAAGGATGCTTTATTCTGAGACCTCACATTCATTTTCACCATTGAACGTGGGATTTCACCACAAAACTAAAAAATGTCTTCTAAGCTTTACTGCGGTACCTATTTTAGTGGGGTTTTACAGATTTCTGTGAGAAAAGCGAAGATGAAATGGACCAATATTTTATCAGAAGAAAGCTGAAAAATCATTGCATTTCATTAGATCATTTCAGTGCATTTTTTTTTTAAATAAATAAGGCATAAGCTGGCAAAAGAGTAAGAAATATCCTTTATTTTCATTTAAAATGTGCCATTTCTGGACAAACACGATTAGTTGAATCTTAAGTTTATTTGGGACATATTTGCACTTTCCTCCACTGAATGTACTTACCTACTGGAAACTAGTAAAAAGGTTTGGATGTTTATGTTCACCCCTAATCTAACTAATCTTACAGCAAAAATCCTCAAATGTAGAAAAGTAATCTAGTTCTATTTAATTAAATATAACCTGCTCTTTCCTGACATCAAAGCGAAGCCCACACTACCTTTAAGACAGATTTCTCTGACAGCTTGGTGGGGAATTCCGCAATATCCGGAGATCTCCTTCTTTGGTAAAATGTTTCGCTGCATAAATGCCTTTAAGGTCATATCACTCAAACCAGACACCCCAAATGCCCACTGGGGCTATTAGACAATGCTGCCTTTGTCTACTGCTGAAAGATGTGTGCAAATGCTGTTACAATCTATAAAGATTGTCTCATGTTTTTCTCAGTCGTGATCCTAAAGGTCACCAAAGATAAACTCAATAAGCAAAATTAAAATAATTACCTGTCAGAACATTCTGCCTGACTACTTGGATTGTAGACTTAAGTTGGGTGTGTAGTGTATTAAATGTTCAGTACAGGGATAACAAAATATTATAATAAAATAGGGACTACATAAAATGGCCCTTTCTAAGGAGTTTTGAAGTCTTCAACTCAATTACTTATAGTGGAGGCCTTCAAGCCAAAACAGAGATCGTCAGGATGTCATTTCCTGCTTCTACTTGTACCCAAAACCAATATCCATCCATACACTTTTCAAAACCACGTATCCCATGCAGGGATCTGGCAAGCCTAGAGCCAATATCAGGAAGCACAAGACGGGAGACAAGCTCAAAACATGGTTGCTAGTGCATTCCAAGACATACACACACACACACGAATGCGATGTCTAAAAACGGTCACGTTTCAATTAAGTTCACAATGAAATGTCAGATGTTGCTAGAGGGAAGGAAAAATGTTGAAATGATTTACAATACTATACTTATGGACAGACACAAATTGCTCTCATAAAGAGAATACAACTCCTACAAGGAGAAGAAAAATTAGAGTGTGGAAACAACATACTATGGAATAGGTTACACGTGTGCATTCAGTGATCATAAGGGGTCTTTAGATGACCGACAGCAATCAGGGGCAAAACAATAATAATCAGTGAAAATGTGCAAGTGTTTGGAAGGACGGCAGCCAAGATAAAACACTAAAATGAATCTGTCATATTTAAATGCAAGCCTGTGGTGTGGCAACTCAGGAGACTACTGTAATAGAAGCAGTAATTGCTACTGAAACATGGTTAAAAAGTCACAAACATACTTAGAAATAGAAGCCTATATAATTGAATACAGTTAAACTCCCTGCCTCCTGGTAACATTGGGTAGTATAAAATATTAAAGAGCTTCCCTAAAATGACTAATTTTAAAAGGTGGATAGACTGGTGCTAAGCTTAAAAACACCCAAAATCTGTTTTTTTTTTTTTTTTTGTTTTTTGTTCCACTTGTATTACATGGGAGGAGAAAAAACAACACTCAATAGAGGATACTTATGACTATGCTAGATTACCTATCTTGCATTCCATTATTTCATTAGCAATGTTTTCAAAATATACGCACCACACCCAAGTGCAAATAGACATTCGCATTGCATTTCACTGTCTGCTTCCATTGACCATTTCATTCATCCACACAGCTCATTTTCTTCCGGGAAATTTCTCCCAGTTAACTACCTTTACGGCAGGTACTGGAACACCCCCAACCCTAACAAAATATAAACTAGCAGACTTAAAGTCACAAGTATTTGCCCTTCACCAGAACGCCCTATGCAGAGCTTCCAAATTTTCAAACTCTCGCACAGAAACTCTTTTTACACTAAGCACAGTTTAAAAGGCATCCAAAAAACGAAATACTCTTAGTTTTAAAACGAAGTGCTTTTAAACAGCTAAGTTCACCGGAAGATAACTGATTAAAAACCTAAAAACTGACAAGGAGGATGAGTTTTGCAGAATTTTTGAAGATTACAAATGATGCAGCTACACAGGCTCTTTCCCACAGACTTTGGAAATCCCCTTGAGCTGTTCTGTTCTGGGTTAGACACGCAGTCTCACTTCCACCTCTTTTGCGTGCCCGCGGTTTGTCTTGAGTCCGACGGAGCACCGTAATTCAGAAAAGAACAGTCTGACAATTGTAAAAGCTCGTCTTTTCCCCTTAATTATACCATACGCCTAACATTTCCTGTTACTTCCTATGCACCTTACACTTAATGCAAATACATTTCACAATGATCTGCAGCTGTTTGCTAATCGTTGTAACATACTGGACCGGGAATAGAAATATGTATGTTCTTTACGGACATTTATAGACAACGACCTTTTACACTTGCATAAATACGAAAGTGGCACTTAAGATCTTTTAATATGGGCTGTATTTTATACCTACGTTTATGGAGACGCCCCACGATTAAGCAATACACCTCGCAACGTATACACACGTACACACCCACCCGCACGCAGGCAGTAAGCCATTTCTTTTTAGTGTCAGCTTCGATAAACAAAGCTGAAGAGGCATCTCCTCAAGGCTAACACCTATCGGCCAAGTAGCTTATGACGGATGGAGGGGTGTGTGTTTGTGGTGGCCAAACACAGTAAACAAATCATCCTGCTTTCTAATGGCGGATCAGCAGTTTTCGAGCATTGCTAGTTAGTCGAATCATAATACCAGATTAACGTATATAGATACACAGGCAGATATAGAGACAAGAAACTTTATTGATCCCAGAGTAAATGTTTTACAACAGCAAACAAATATTACTGGGCAATAAAAGCACAATATAAACAAATACAAGAAAGAACAACCAAAACAAGCAGTGTGTATTTATCGTGCGGTAGTTTAGCCAGCATGAGGCAATGTGCCTGAACAATAAGCATCCGTTTGGGTTTAAGATAACGTTAACTACCAACATTATAACTAAAAATATCATCGGCAACAATAACAATTTAAAAACAGCTTTCTTTGCTCCAATCGCACTGAGATCGTAATTATAATCTACACGGGGGATACAAACATTACTGGGGCCGACCACGCGCAGAATAATACCTAGTTAGCAACTAACGGATTATTTCACTAAATTACTTACCGTTAATGCGGCTTAATTTCTGGAAGCTGAGCTGTAGCCAATAACAAAGAATACTTCAGTTAGCAGTTTATTAGCGATACTACAGAAAACAGCGATAAACTCGGCTCATGTAAGCGGATCAACCAAGCTGGTTAAGATAAACTTCACCCACCGAGTCAGTAGCGCGAGCCTTACAGACTCATGTCCATTCCCGTGTCACCCACACACATCCGGATAGTTATCTACGAGGCATGCTAGCGTCAGGCTTAGCCCCTCCAGTTAGCACAAACCAAGTCCTCCGGTGGTAGTCGTCTGCCGTCGCGAAGCCTCAAAAAGCCCATATGGCCATGACTCCGAAAACACGGCACTACCTACTACAGAGAACGACTACATAAACATGAGCAAACGACGCAACCACGAGGGACCACCGACGCGCGATCAACAGTAATGTCGGAACGATTACGCGCCACCTGTCGGCAAGGAGGTCACATGCCACAATAAATAATTATTTGCGATTGTATTTTTCTCAGCAGAAATACAAAGACCCTTACAGAATAACATAAATAATTTTACTATTTATTCATTCATTTTTCATACCACTTTATACAGGGTCATGGGGATCTGGAGCCTATCCCGGAACCAAGGGGCGCAATAACCCAACTCATCGCAGTATGTTACAATTTACTCACAGTAATATAAATGTGAAAAGCACCATTCCTACTGTGTGTTCAGCTCTGTGTACAAAACAATGATTACAGAACTCCCCCAAACAAAGATCTCCCAATTTACTGGGCCTGACACTTGTAAGTGGATTACTGTCTTCCAGACACGCTGGGGACAGCACGTGAGGCTCTGAAAAGACACGACACAGTGTAACCTTTAGCCCACAGAGCTGTCACTTTATCCTCTACTGTACTGTATCTCCAGTTACTCGACTGTTAAAATCCTGAAATTTGCATGTGACACAATTCCCTCAATCATCTGTGACTGAAAGTTAATATGCAGTAGTTAAGTCCTTCAGATTCCTGGAAACCAGAACCTCTAAAGATATAAATTGTATGCTGATTTCATTATGAAATAGTTATGTTGTTACTCTGTTACTTAATATGCTTAGAAGCATGCCAGGCGTGAGAACCACTGCAGTACAATTCAGTTCTATGGTTATAACTTTTCCTTTGGTAATTTAAATATTATCAAGCAAAACAGCATTTTCCTATGCAACCCAAAAGAACTGAATGCAATAAAGACACAGCACCAGCTTTTGAATTAAACCACGTTTATTTTAAGATTCACTCAATATGTTACTAAACACATTTGAATTTTATAACATTTTCAAAATAAAAATAAAAAAGATTAAAGCTGAAATAAAAGGTATATGAATAATATCGTGCAGCTTGATAATCGGCCCTGTACAGGATAAGCGGATATGGAAGGTGTACAGACAGATGGTACTAATACTAATAATTAAGCTGTATAAGTTCAAATAGCCATTTATTAAATTGTGTGGTGCACGTGTACCTGCAAATGATACACGGTATATAGTGGTAGTGCTGGATAAGGTTGTGAAATAAGCAAATAAATCTGGCAATATGATCAGCAGTCCAAATCATTGGATTCATTTCCTTTGCTTGATATTGCAAAAAGTTAGTTCTGGTTATAAAATATTTACAGATTCCTTCAGGCCATCGGTATTGTCAATCTGACGATGCAGATGATACATTTGCATGTTCTTCGCTCACATCTTGAAACACTCATCGCATCTTCCTGCTTCAGCCACATCACCTATACTCTGATTATAGTAGACATGACCATGACTGCACTTACTCCAGTTACTCAGCTTTAGAAAACCAAATTCAGTGGCTATTTTACTGGTTTCCTCTAAGAAATTCCCATTCAGTGGTATTTTGAGTTTGTCTGCGATGTCGCTAAGATCTTTTCCCAGCTTTTGGACCTGTTGTTCCTTTAGGTGCATCATGCTTAGTTTGCTGATGATTACTCCCAACTCGGTAGAGTCTCTTGAGGCTGTCAGAGCAAAATATGCCATTTTCTCATATCTTCTAGACAACATGTGACTTTCCGCCAGGTACAGAATCCTTTTCACTTCTTTTTCATAGTCAGGCAGCAGTTTCTCTTCTATCTGGCTGATCTGTTCACTAAGCATGTCGAGCTGATACTTGATTTTGGGCAGATGGTCTGGCACGCTCTGTTGCATTTTGTTTTCAATTTCGGCTAACTGGAAGACCAGGCCAATCTGCTTGCTGATAAGCCAACATTTTCCAACGTCCAAGTCAAGACCATTCAACTTGGGCAACAGAGGATGGATGAAAATGGACATGATCCCTTTCTTCTCCATTGCCTTCACCGTGTTTAGAATTTGAGCTGAGAGCATTGCTGTGGCCTTTCGCTTCACCATTTCCAGGTCTTGTAGCTTGCGTTTGATGATACAGTTATATCTTAGATTTCTGTGAATGGGAGTGTGGCATTTGGGACAAGACTTAAAAGTAAGAACCCTACTCTCTTCTGGGAGTGCCATCCATGAGTCAAACGCTGTGACTTCAAACAGGTGACCGCAATCGACAAGCTGCACAAATCGGGCTCCCGGGTCAGCCTCACTGCCGAAAAAGAGCTCCTGCACTTCGTCCACGTCGCAGATGCCACACTTCCTGGGACACGGCTCTCCGCACATCCCAATGCACGGGTGCTGGCACTTCAGCAGCTTACGGCAGGGCATGTGACACGCCGGCCGGTCACAGGGCTCGTGACACAACTTTGTGCAGTTATGATGTCTGCAGTGCCAGCCGCAGCTGTTTAAGCAGGGCTGGCAGACCTCCAAGCATAACCTCGCACACTTCTGGTGGTAACATCGGTTTGCGCAAGGCTTTGAACAAGGAACGCAATCTTCCCCACACCTCCCACTACACTGGTGCGAGCAGATCATCTGCACCTCACACCGGGAGGTACACGGAATCACTTCTCCTCTAATCTCCCTCTCCAGTTTCATGTGGCACGGCACCGACCTCTGGTGTCCACACTTTAAATCTACCATTACGGTCTTGAAACATTTAGAAGTGCAAAGTTCACCACGCACTCTGTCACATAGGTGACCACAACAAGGTAACCGCCTGTCACAAGGAACGCGGTGTATAAATTTGTCATGGTCTTTATCTTCAGGGGCCGATGCAGACAGGTTCTCTGGGGTCAACTGCTGACAAGGGACACCTTCCGCAGAGCAACTGTAAGCACACGTGTGGTGTGTGTTTTTTGGATGGCACGGCTCAGTGCAGATGTGACTGCAGAGAAGCCTGTAGCCACAGGGCTGGGAACATCCTCCCAAGGGTACCATGAGAAAGTCATCTGCTTTTGCTACAGTAGTGATGGTACCAGGATGGTTTTCACACTGCAGGCTTAGAGCCTCACCGGTCAGCCCATAGCTGCTGGCGACATTCAATATTTTGCTCCACAATGGGACTGCTGAATATATTGCCATGTTTCCAAAACAATACAAGCCTATCTTTGCTCTTGAAAGAGCAATTGAAATGTACTTGGGGTTTGTCATGTTGATTGCTTTCCCATCCAGACTACTTCTGACTAATGACAGTAATATGATGTCATTTTCCCTCCCTTGGTATTTGTCTACCAAACAAACATTCACACCTTGAAGCGCGCTTTTCTGCATGGTCTTCATCAAGAGAATGAGCTGTCCAGTATATGGTGTGAGAACGGTAATCTGGGAAGTCTCATAACCCTGGTAAATCAAGTGACGGCAAAATGACGTCACAAACGTTGCCTCGTGAACGTTCTGGTGGCTCTGGCCATCGTTCGTAATTTCATCAAGGTGCTTGTGGTATACAAAGAAGATATTTGTAGTGACGCCCTACGAGAGACAATGATTCAGTATTCATTTACATTGTTATACAGAATCCATTGTTATGCACATCTTGTACTTACAATACTATACAGTCATATACAGTATTTCTCAGAACTAAATCAAGAAATAACTGCATTAACAAGAATACGGTATTACTATAGGTCCACCATCAAAATTTTTTAAATGATTTATTCGATTGCTTATCAACTGCTTAAAAAAGACTTTCATATAAACAAACATGACATAGTGGCACAATATTACGTAACTCAAAATATTACGTAACTCATGGCTTTCAACTCATGAAAGCCATGAGAATTACCTTTATTTTTTCATTGACTGCATTGTGGTTCTCTAGCCCGTCAAACAAGTGTGGCATTAACACCTGGGAAATACCTGGATGCATGCGATGCTGCAGAAAGAGAGAGGAAGGTTTAAAGCTGTTAGTAATATTAGTTATATGCAGTAATTACTCACCTTTCCCTGAAGTCACGTCGGCATGACTGTGTGGATCAAGGGAACAGACTTAACTTTCAGCAAAGACGAGGCGGTCGCTCATAATACTAAGCTACTCATCGATTGCTCAAGTAGGTCATAATGCGCAACGAAATGAAAATGTTTCACTCATTTTTGTAAGTGCTCCAGAGTTCACAGCCACGTAGATAACACTTCAAATTAATTTTTTGGAGCTTTTGCAAAACAAATAGACAATTCTAGGTCTAATGTCCTACTTATCATTATACCAATTACGGTTACTAATGACACTTTCCACCACTCGTGCACACATCCACTCCACAGCAACTTAACACACTACACAGGCTGTATAATTTACATTCCTAGTGCTGGTTAAGTAAGGGATAATGTACAGGCAGCCGGTAGTTATCGCAGAAATAAGCCCCGACAGTGTGATCAGGACCCGACGCTTATTACACGGCTACTTGCCACATAAGGAAAAAAACTGGACATGAATATGAATTTGAAACATTTTATTGGCATATTTGTTTCAAATTAACATTTTTAAACGGTAATCTTTGTTGGCACGGAGGGATTTTAAACATACAAGTAGTACCGGCTATGCGTTATTACTTTGGAGCAGTTATTATTTGAAAAGAACGAACCTGCAAATGTCTCAACTGACCAATCAGAATCAAGCATTCCAGAGAGCCGTGTAATAAATTAATTTAAATGTAGCCCTGAATGTATCTAACAGTTCTATTGTGCCATTTGGACAGGCACAGATAAAGACCTACACACCAGTCCGCTGTCTTCAGTAAGACATTTGACCCAAGAAATCGACTGAATCGTCACACTGCAACGACTGCAGGATTTGCATAACGATGTGTTCCTTACCTGCTGCTTGAGACGAACAAAAGGAACATCTGTCAGAATTAGCCGTTCATACAAGGACAAACCCACATTCAAAGTTTGCTTGTTTTCTGATGGCCGGGAGCAAGACTAAAATCAAAATATGAAAAAATTAATCATTAAATTTACTTAGCAAATGCTTTTATCCAAAGCCACAGATAACTGAGAAAGCAGGGGCCGGGGCGGTTCATGGAACAATTGTGGTTAAGGGCTTAGCTCAGTGGCCCAAAGGTTAAATCACTCTGCTGACCACAGGATTTGAACCAATGACCTTCTGATTATGAGCACGAGTCCCACAGAGTCACATACCACCACACATGAGTCAGAAACAATACTAAGCTGATGACAAATGGGATAGATGGATGAAAACATCACAAACTGACGAAATGCAAGTCTCAGATTAAGCGCCAGTAAAAGGCATTTGGTAATGGTATCTCACACAAGCACAGTATTTTTAATGCTTGCTGTAAAATGAGATGCCTAATCTCAAGAAAACGTGAATCATACACCCACCTGCCGCTGCTCTCCGATCAGCACAAGGTGCTGGCAGGCAGAGGTCACGGAGGTCACTATCTGGGCCTCTCCAACTTCGGCGGCCTCCTCCACCAGGACCACCCTGGGCTGGATTTCCCGCAGAACCCTCCAGTGATGCACAGCACCTGGATGGATGGATCCTTTAGAGTGTCTGATACTGAACATATGTACGCTGCACCTTCCAGGTGTGGTGGTTGGGGATATAGGCAGAGACAGAGGCCAAGAACACGTAACAGGTATCCCATACTCAGATCTGATGATCTGAGCAATGAGGTAACAATGGACTGCCACCAGAGCATGCGAGCAGAGCGGAGCAATGAGAATTTCTGCTGAACGCTCACACACACCTTTGTCAAGAACCTCGGGCTGATTAAAATTCATATTTTACACTTTGTCTTTGTACTGCCTTGTCTTTTATTGCATTGCCTGTTTGTGCCCTTTATTCCACTTTTTGTGTCCTTTCTTGCACTTTATTGTCCTATTGTCCCCCCATTTACCTGTGCCCTCCCCAGCAACCACGGTAAGAATTTACCTCGGAACACATGACAGTAAAAACTTGAAACTTTAACTTGGACCTCAGCAGGCAGCTGTCAGTAACTTCACAGTGACTGACACATGTAAACGTTTGTTTTGCAAATAATTTGTAAAAACGAACAGCACTAGAGGAATCCCTAGCACTACTACACAAAAGAAGTAATTCTTGTGCTATTAGATATCATGGCAGACCTGAATTATTTCAATGAATTTACAAAGTAACGGAGCAGGATCACTAATAACAGGAATGCAGGGAACTTTTTTGCAATGTGACGTCTGGGAAAATAAAAGGCATGCAGATCGACATAAACAGAAAGATCAATTCACATGAATGTCGCCTTGTTTTTTTAGTTTTTTTTTCTAGTCTTTACTTACTTGCAGCTGTCATTCCGATAAGCCGAGCGCGTTTTAAGATGATTCTGTCCTCCAGCCAGCTGAGCTCGACCGCCCGCTTAACCACTGCTTGGCGCTCAGTCTCCAACTCTAGAATCGTGGCTGTTAGATCTTTCTGGTACATGGAGAGCCAAAGCCTGGGGGTATAAGGTTCTTTATGTTTCAGTTCCTCACAGCATAGCAAACATCAACGAAAGTATTTACAACACGTTCCGAGCCTTGCTGTTAAGATTCCAAGCCCTCCGGCAATGAGTTTTGGTTCCTGTCATGGTTTTCTTTCTTATTTTTCTTTAAAGCGTGCTCCTTTTGACAGAGATATAGGCCAAATCTCAACAGATCTCAACATGACTGTCATAGCTGTGTTGATATTGACATGGTGGATGAGAGGGGGAGGTGAAGAGCATCCTGATACAGTCGAAAGCCCCATGCTTCTCTAAGCACACAATACCCCCCCCCCACTTCAGCCGTGGCTTGGCCTCCCGCCTGGTCATGTGTTTTTTAGTGTGACATGGCGTGCTCATGGCGTGACATGGCGTGCTCATGCCGTGACATGGCGTGCTCTGGGCGTTGCTGCGGAAATGGTTACCTGTAAAGGTGCCATCGCTGCTTGTATGTCAGGGTCCAGAGGTCGCAAATTTGCCTGGCATCTACCTCCAGCATGTGCTCCACTTCCTGCAGCTCTTGCCTTACAACCATTTCTAGGTTCCTCTTTATGTCACTACTCATCTAGGCAAATGTTGGCAATCCATAGTTACTTATTAACCATTTGAAATAGGCTTTATTTGCTCCTTATCAGGGTGGGTTGGGTACTCACATCCACTCCACCAGTGCACGTTGTTTCCTCTTCCACACGATCACTTAGCACATAGGCAAGATCCGTACCACAGGCATCAGTCAGGCCCCTCCAAGTGCTCTGGATGCCTTCCTGGGTGTCAGCCGTCTCAACATGGCCAAACTCATCTCCTTCCACAGACTGTGGTTCTCCAGCTGCACACAGCATTCCGCTCTCATAATTTGCAGAAACAATTCCCGCCCCACGTCCCACACGCAATGCTGTTACGTGAGCCAACAGGACGATAAATAACATTACAGCTAGCTAGTTTCGTCCCGTAAGTGGAAACGCATTTGTATATTCTGACACCGACGTTTTTGGAGGCTTACCGCCATCCTTCAGGGGCTCCACAGGGGAGAAGCGCTTGGAGACTCTTGCCGCAAAACTCGCAGGGAAGCCTAGGTCCTGATCGCTGCTGATAGCTACGTCACAGTCCTCTGTACCACTGCCTGGTCGGGGAAAATGCATGATACAATTATATACACACATTTTTTATCATACAATATACTGACCAAAAGACTTAGGCAGTCAAAGAAAATGATTTTTAAATGATCTTCATGTGTAAAACTGTGATGTCTGTCAAAGTGTGTCAGCTTAGCCACTTCAAAACTTCTCTGAACATCACCCAGTATTTGCAGGAACTATTCAATATACCAATGTATTTCTGACTCGACCACTACCCTACCTTGTCTGGCTAATCAGCACCTCACAGCAGTTATTTGACAAACTAAGTTAATTAACTGAATGAGCTGGTGGTGAAATTTAAAATGCATGGAATGGCTGAGGTGCCCCTGAGGAGAGGTTTGGGAACTGAAGCGGTGTTCGTCTAGCCATCCAGCAAGATATCAGTAACTTTTTGGAGAACAGAAGAAAATCTTGTGTATTTTTTATTGTGTTATTGTCAATTTGCTAAATTTGTTAAATTGTGTTTTTTTCTGAGCAAATATATACTTACTACCTAGACAAATAGCCTTAAAAATGTCTTTGCCTGCCTATGACTTTTGTACAGTACTGTATATATTTACTAGTCTATACATTTACATGTACAAAATTTATTCATATATTCTATATTTTTAGAATTCTATAAGTTCATTACACTTATTTTGGTGGACAGTGTCACACAAAAGAACTTAAAGCACAACCCATTTGGAAGGCAGACTGACTTACCACAGTGACTGTAATCCTCTTCATCATCAGATAAATACATACACTCTGGGTCAATTTCACTGAAGTCTGCCCAACCTACAACGAAAACAGCAACAGACAAATACAGTATGCATCAGGCAAACAGTAACAGAAACTCCAAGGTAATAAATATTGTCAAAGCTTTTTCATAAAATTTACAAGAAACAATTGCATTTAAAAATAGGTCCGCTTCCTGTAAACGTTTGCACACAAAGGCTTCTGCCACTATCCTGCAGGTACCAGTGTCTTCCAGTGTCTCCTGCTCCAGTGTGTCTGCTTCCTGCTCATCTTGTTCCTCCATGCCACTAGAGGGCCGACTGAGAACCACCTCCTCTTCACTCTCAGGCCGGTCCTCTGTCTCGCTGCTACCGGATGTCACGCTCAAGGACTCCCCTGCACTGTCACTGTAGGCGTCCACTGTGTCATCCTCTGCTGTCTCTGTGGTGGTACTGAATGCCGGGTCCATTTCATTGTCCCCTGGCCCAGCCACCTTAAGGTCTTCATCCCCAAAGTCATCAGTGTCCCCTGAGTGGAGTAACACTCAGTAAATACACTCAGACAACACCGTTAAAGAGCTGCTTCCTATCAGACTGTAATGTATGCTGACAATGAAAAATATCTGCATTTACATTTTAAAGTATTTTAACTCTTTGACCCATTTTCTCTAATTAGTGATCTGGCACAAATCAGTATTAGTGAGAGAGCCTATCCCAGGCATACTATAGATGGAATGCCAGTACGTCACAGCCACAATTTAGAGACATCGGTCAAGCTCAGCTTTGAGCTACGGGAGGAACCCAGAGTACTTNACAGGGCATACTATAGATGGAATGCCAGTACGTCACAGCCACAATTTAGAGACATCGGTCAAGCTCAGCTTTGAGCTACGGGAGGAACCCAGAGTACTTGGAGGTAAGCCCTGAGAATATCAAGAGAGGATGAATGTTCTGCCACAGTGATTACCATCCATCTACCAAAACCAGAAGCATTTGAAGAATTTAATAGTGTGACTCAGTGATTCACAATCCTGTCCATGGAGCTCAGAGCGAGCAACAACGTAGATTGGCCATGGGTCCCTGAGAACCGGATTGGGAAACACTGATGTAGTTTAAACGGCACCGTTCACAAAGCAAGAGTAGTTTCCTCACCTTGCCTTGAAGAACTTCTCAGTATAGAGACTCCAAGCCATTCCATCATAATTGACTGGCTTTTCGTTTCATGGGGAGAATATGGACCACCAGGCTAAATGGGAGAAGAAAATCATCATCATCAATCACTGTAAAACATATAAAACATACAGAGAGACCATGCTATATAAACAGCTGGGGAAACAAACAATCTGGCTACAGAAAGCTACAAAGCATGATTAATTATAAAACACTAGTACCTGTGTGGATCTCACTGACCTCTACATTCCCTAGGCTTATTCCATGAAGAGCAACGATATACTTAGTCAGCACCGTCTCATGGACGATTCCTTTTGAAGAACATTCCAACAAATAAGCAGCTTTCCTAAGTTCTTCCTCCGTGATCCTTTTCTCAACATACAGCTGTAAACAAGTTACATTTTTAATCAGAAGAAATGCCAACAGACCATAAATTTATAATGTACAGAAAAGCAACATACCTGCTTATGCATTAATCTCAGGTGCACAGGTAAGCTCTTTCTAAAGGGAATCTCCCTCCTCTGATTCTCCAGAGAGACGCTCTTCAGACTGCCGCTGGAGCTTTGCCCTCCAACCCTGACAAGTCCAGAAGCACCTGGCAAAAACTGAAGTACTCCTACAAAGAAATCCATAACAGAACTCACACTTCACATTTTACATCTTATATGACCTTAATTTATATGGCTTTATAAAATCATGCTACTTGACATAAAATTACATTTTAATTACAGAAACTACTAAGTGACATAATTTTACTGAAGCAACTTTTAAGTATATTTACCAAAGTATGTTTTATATATGTATATATATAACTAGTACAGACAGCAGTACCTTCCAAGAACTTATCCAAAGTATAGTCTGTGTGGCAAAGCACCAGAACAAGACTTTCTGATCCTGTGCCCCAATGATGGGAATTATCCAGGAAAGCTCTGACAATTTTGAGGCCGACATAAGTTTTCCCTGAATAAAACAACATATTTATCAGACAAGTAATAAATTAAAAACATTCATCATAAAGGAATATTTCAACAATAGTACTCTGATGAAAGAACCTGACCTGTTCCTGCTTGACCTTCAATGACAGCCAACTCCTTTGTTAAGGCTAACTGCACAGCTTTCAGTTGGGAGTCATCCAAATTCATCTCCTCCTTCCTTGGCCACTCACTGAAATTTAAAATGCTCTGAAAGTGCTTTTGACTCAGGGCATTCTTTCTGTACTCTTGTCCCCCATTTTCATTAATTCCTTCCCGTCCAAAACCAGAAACTTCTCCTTTGACTGGGCTATCACTGATCAATGCTTGAAGACTATAGTGTTGCAGGTGATTCAGCAGATATTTCGGTGTTGAGATGTCCGTCTCGCAGCTCACAATGTATTTCTGCATTGGTAGGATTTGTTCTTCCACTTCCTGAAGACTTTCGAGAAGAGGCCTGTAATCCTCAAAAACCACAGTAGCATCAACCATTGTAAACACATCCAATGGAGTGATGTCTACCATTCCTGCTCTGCTTTCTTCAGGAAAACAGAGTGTCAAAATACCCTGAGTCAATTCATTCATGGCCTGACTACAGATGGTAGCAAAAATTATTGTGTCAAAACCATCCTTTGAGAAGCACAACAGTGTTCCATACATTAGTTCCTTTGAACTCTCCAGGTTGACTAGTTGTAAGTTTTTGGGGTCAAACCGAACTTTATACATGATTCCTTTGCTTGTGTAAATTGGAGAAGCGATGTGGACATCAAAATAAACATGACTGCATAAAGATGAGTCAACTCTCCCTTGGCAACAACCCTTCTTATCATACTTAAGAAGGCGGGTGATCCTGTCTCTAAGTGGCTTCACAAAGCTCTCTCTAAGGAGGTGAAAGAGTGAATCCAGGTAGGTCTTGCTGTCTTTAAACTTCCCACTAACTGATGAACTCTGAGTCATGGTTACCTCCTTACAGGTTGGCAAAATTGACATTGATCTCCAGTTCCCAACATCTGAATCGTGCTGGTCAATTTTTTCAAAGGTATGACCATCTGACTTTATAATGCCTTCAGGATTTTTTTCTTTCAAATATGCAATCACCTTTAGAAGTTTCTTTAGACGATCATTTGATTCCTCTGAAATAATGAGCCCTTTAGAATGTAGATGTTGATATTCATTTTGTAGGAGAGCTGCACAAAGGGAGACATCATTGACCCTGCAGGGAAACTCTTCAAGTAAGAGCAAATAAAAGGCCACGATTTGGTCCAGTTTAGAAATGCTTTGTTCTCTCTTGATATGCTCATCTTCTCTCCCCAAATCCATCACAAACTTAGGCAGAGTCCTCGTTAAAAACAAGGAATCTTTCATGGTCATAAGAAGATACCGTATATTCTCCTTGTATATCTGACTGCTGCATGCTTTGTTTACGATATCAAAAATGACAGTTGTCAGAGTGCTGGAATTATCCTCCTTATTAAGGAGCTCCTTAAAGCCACTTCCAGGAGCTACTAAATTCATGAGTATTTCAGTTGCCCCCAGTTTTTCAATTTTCTCAAGTGCATGTAAGTCTAGCTGATTTTTGCAATATAAACTAAAATCAAAATCAGTTTCAGTCAAGCTATCCTTTAAAGGTCTATAAATGTAAGACCAGTTTTGCTGATTGTCTGTCCTGTATGAAGACTTCAACTGAATGTCATTTGTCTGGGTTCCTGAAAGGGACAGAGAGACTCATGAGCAACAATGACCACAGTATCAACTTGGCTGCAAAGATAAAACAATTTGACTATAAAAAAACTCTTACTCCATTGCCTTGATTGGTGATTCCATGTAGTACTGTGAAATTTGCCATGCGCTACAAATCCTGCAGGTTTTTCGAAAGGGAATTGTCTATTGAAGTGGTTTATACTTTTTTGTGCTCTTCCACGTGCTCCAGCACCTCTTCCGAACGACCGGGCCAAACTGTCCTGGGTGTTTCGAAAGTCGGCTATTGTGGGTTTCTTCCCACGATGCTCACCTACTCAGAAAGTAGCAGGAAATCACTGCTTATTCATCTGTCTTTCAACCAAGTTTCAACTTGGTGTTATCTGTTGCTAGTTCAACATTTACCACTCCTAAAATATGGCAAAATGCACATTTCATTCAAGAAAGATCATTTATGGGGAACAGAAAATATATTCCAGGAATACAAACAATGAGGCTGACACTGACAGCCCTGTTCATTTACTCCATATGGACTTGCATACCTTGTGGGTGACTGACTGTTGTGTACTGCCTTCTACTATGCAGCTGAGTTTTTCTTTGTGATTGGAGGTTTACTGCTTCTGCTGCTTGAGAGCGTCTGCTCTCAGAACGTCGCTGAGGTCCACCACCACTTGACGGATGAGGAGGGCCTCTTGCAGGGAATTCTTTTTTAAAGTCACAAAATACCAAGGCCCAACTAAATTAACATTTCATATCAACTTCAAAATTCTTCCGTGTTTTTAAATTCTTATGCTTTGTTGTTTTATTGTTCCCTAACATAAACAACTCTGCCTTAAATACCCTGATACTTTTCAGATAAACTTGTTCTAATTGTGGCATTTCTAAAACAATTTCTGTGCATTACCAAATTTGTCACAAAGGATCTATTATATAACAATTTTTATTTACTCTGTTAGTTTCAGGACTCCGAGCCATGAAATATACAGGTGACAATCATTGTCCTCACAACCAAGATGTTCAATGCTCTTAATTTCTATATTACGTTAACATTAGCATTGAAATGCTGACTAATGGATTATAAGGGACATGTGTTTCCAAGGGACTTTTAACAACATTTTCACCAGTACCCTTTTGGAGTTTATCTTTGCTTTTTCCAGTTTGCTTCTCATTTGTGTTTACTGACTGGGTCAGTTGAGTATTTTTGAGAGGAACTCTCTGCTGGCAGGGTCCAGGGAGCGTCCCTGAGTGAGGAGAAAGGTTTTGTGTCAAGCAAACACACCTGAAATGCACTCACAAACCATGATTATCCTCAAACAAATGATTTAACCCTTTTTGTTTGGCTGCCATTTCAAGAACTGTTTACCTGCTTCATGTGGTTGGCACTTCAGGTAAATTATTAATCTGATATGCTTAATTATAGCCAACCTATTTTTTCCCCCTGTTTTTCAATTTATAAAACTTTCCTATAGTATGAATGAAATAAACAGTAATGTGAATGAAAACATGAATAAAGTGAAATGTAATGTTCTTTCATAGTATTTCTTTGTTATTACATATTTCCTCTTCAACCCTAACCCAGGAAGCAGGTTGAAAAAGCATTTCATTACACACATGTACAATTTGAGTAAATGACAAATAAAAGTTTAACTCTAGCAAGAAATCCTACTGCAGCTCTGCTTTATTTGGTCTGTTTGTCCCACCCTGCCTGATGTACTGATAGTATTGGGTAACCAGCTGTTAAACATCCCTTGTCAAATATTGAACAACGGACAAATGACATGCAAGATATATCTTGGAGACCTGAACTACGTTCTTGATGTCTGGGTTTGTCAGGTCCTCTCCTGATTTGAGACCCAGACTGGAACTGGGTGCCCTCGGCTACTGGACGTAGACTGGTATGAGACGACTTCTGTGTGTTCCCATCCCCTGACCGATGAGTATAACCTGGAAGGAGACAGTAACAGTTAATAAATAACATCTCCCAAGGTTTGCGAAGTAACTTTCCAGACAAAAAAATTCAAATATTATTTTAATTTTATACATTTCCTAACCTAATGTGCCTCTCCAGCTGGTGTTACTTATTATTGAATAAAACGGGATAAAGAACACATGATTTTTGCGGGAGGGTGATCATATTACCTTGTGGACGACTGGGTCTATCACATCTCCTCACTGAGAAAGACCCACTTTGTCTTTGCAAGGTGGGGGGGGTCACACTTGTGGCTGGATTCCCAGGGGGATTTCTTTGCGCTCCACCATCCACTGACGGTTTCCCATCCCCTGACTGATGAGAATAACCTGGAAGGAGGCAGTAAATAAACAGCATCTCCCAAAGATTGCTAATTAGCTTTCCATGCAAGTTAAGCCTATTCAATTTTTTTATTTATTTACACATTTTCTTACCTAATGTGCTTCTTCAGCTGGTTTTACTTATTACTGAATAAAATTGGGAAAAGGCCAAATGGATTTTGCGAGAGGGGGACTGTATTACCTTGTGGACGACTGGGTCTCCCATAGAAAGACAAACTTTGTCCTCGCAAGTTGGGGGGGGTCACACTTGTGGCTGGATTCCCAGGGGGTGTTCTTTGTGCCCCACCACCCAGTGATCCAGAAGAAGCCCCTAAATATACACACCAACATTGAAAAAATATATTTATATATGGAAATCTTCACTGACACTGATAACAGTGAATTTTTGTCTAATATTGCCGATACTGATAACCAGTTAAGCTGTAACCCACTGGCTGAGTAGAGGGGGGAAGGCCAGGTTTGTCATTCACACACACACACACACACACCTATAGACAATCTGGCAGCTCTAGAAGACATATGAAATATTCTTTTCAATACAGATTGAAATAGCTTATGGTGTATTTGATCAAGAGTGAAATACCATAGCTTACATATCCTAAACGAGGATAGTGTTAAGGACCTTCACAACCAGTGTTCCTTACTACCTACTCAAGCTACAAATGTACATTTGCAAATATTTATTTATTCCTGGATTCTTGCACTACTGCCACTTACTGCCAAGTTTGCACATCATGTATATTTATGAATACGATTTAACGTTTGTTAAAACATCATGTCCTGTCTCTTGATTAAACTTGCACCTTCATTTCACAGGCTGGGGTTAGGCAACCGTGCATTTCACTGCATACTGTACCGAGGATAATCATGCATGTGGCAAATCAAACTTTCAACTTGAACCAGGGTTGCCAACTCTCATGCATTTGGCGTGACATTGTGATGAGCTGGGTTTTTAGCTGTTGCAGTAGGTGCAGCCTTGGAGGATTCCTTCTGAGGGTTACCCCACTCATCCACAGGTGTGCCTGCAGTTGACTCCGCTTACAGACACACAATAACCAGGGCTGGTGTACAGGACTCGGCACTTTACTGCAGTTAGATGCAGACAACTCACAAAACCACTCCCTCTCCTCTTCCCTTCCACTCGCTGGTCTCCCGCGCTCGCTCTCCGCGCGTCACCTCTTGTCTCCGTCCGGCTGCGCGCGCACACACGCATACTTCTGACACGTGACGTGGTTAGCCCGGACATTAAGCTCATTACAACATTCACACTTTCAGACTCACATGCTCACGTAAGAAATGTTATGGAAAATCTATATTTCAATATAAACCTAAAATTAGCTACATTAAGAGCGTTGAGGTAGTCCACAGACCCTATAGGATATTTACAAACAACGGTTACAGACGTGTAGATGCGGGTGCAGATTTGTCTCGATCTGAAAATCTCACGCCAGCTAGCTGACCTAAGTTGGCAACCCTGCTTGAAATTGTTTGCTTATCAGTATTTATCTAATATCCAAAGGTGGGGTCTGACCCTGTGGGTGACTGCAGGCTCTTCCGCGCCCTCTTCCGGCTTGGGAACCTGCCCTGTTTTGTGACTGGGAGCTTCTTCCACTACTTGCTTTTGACTGGTTCTGCTGTCTGGGCCCAGACCCCTTAGACTGAGAAGACCCTGCCAAATGAAAAACAAGTCTTTCTCAAACCTCCTTTTGCTCCACCCCAAAAATGTGTTCAGCATAAACAACGCGCGTCCTTACAAGAAAATATTACGCAATATATTACACGAATTATTAAGAATACATTTAACTCATATTACGTTTATTTAACATGATTCTAATATACAACAATTAGTCAAGGACGTTTTTAACGGTAACGAGAAAATACGTACGCATTTTTGGGAAAGTTCAATCACTCGTCCTGAGTACTGGGTCCATGTGTTGGTATCTAAATGCATGAGAACAGTTCATATATAATGACACCATGCACAAATGCGCTGTTATACATTAAATTTGGAGAAATCACACATTTATGTAACGTGTTGATATATCGTATTTAAATATAAACTTTTCATTACTTAAAGTCAGGCTATTTGACATTGTTGAGCCATAACAGTAAACTGACTTTAATTTAAGTCGTAGGATTCTGTGAAAGAGATAGTATGGCAGCTATTCTGGTGTCACCTATTTTTCGCTAAAATGCCTGTCAAAAAAGCCTTCTTGCTGAAGGTAGCGGTTTCATGCACTACTTGCCGTTTGAAAGCTACGGTTCCCAGCTCCTTCTGTGCGACGCCCTGTGTTCCCAGCAGTAGCCGTATAGCCGCAGCACATCCCGTGTCTGCCGCCGAGATGGCGGCCGCCTCCCGTATGAGAGACGATTTCTTATTTGTTGATCAATACAAGCCAGAATATTAGGATCTTTTCGTCACACTACACCGCCACGGGCACTGCGTGCACTGACTGATGAATGCTGTATTCATTACTAGTTTCATTTGAACTAGTACGTCCGGAATTTCGAACCAAGATTTTAGACTGATTCCTATAGCTTTAAAAACTGTATCTGTCCTCACAAACGCCTCTGGATTACAATTAAATTTGAAGTAATGTGAAATTTTGACTATTCATGATCATGATGCAATATATACTTCTCTTTTTTATGGAGAACTGGTAAACTATTAACCGAGGGTTATAACTTTTTGGATATCAAATGTGATAATAAGGCCTTAAGGTCGGTCCGCACAAACAAATGTTTTCCTTTACCAGCTAAAATATATTCATACACTATGGACAATTTAGATATGACAGTTTGCCTAACTGTATGTTTTTGAACTGCTGGAGGAAGCGCACATGACACATGGAGAACATCCAAATGCAGACACAGAGCAGAGGTGGAATTCAAACCCCGAGCCCTGGAGGTGTGGGACAACAGTGTGAGCAGATCTAAATTCAAGCCTGCAGATTTCAGTTTGCAGAACTTGTTTTGCAAACAAAAAACATCTAAAGCTAAGTAGAGGGCCCAACTGGAACGCTGCTTCTGTATTCAAAATTCTGTGTTTGAACCTGCTGGATTTGCATGTCCCAATATAATCCCTCAGTTGCCTTCGTCCAAGACTAAGGAGATTTAAAGCTTCTAACCGGACCATGTACAAAATGCTTTTAAGAACAGGAATAATCCGTACTGCTTTTACATGAATTTAGTCTAAAGAAATATTGCCCTTTCTGATGCCAGGTGAGTGCATTACGATAGCCTTGGACATAACTGCTATGCATTCACACCTGTCAATGGAGCAATGCGTTCTTACTTTCAGGCATGAACAAGGTATCTGTGTGGCACGAAAAAATGTGCTTTTTCATCCAAACTACTGCCATATTTCTCTCTTCCCCCCAGTACCAGGGAAGCACAGGATTATTTCAGATGCCCCCCCCACTGCTATCAGTCACTGCACAGTCCTCTGGTTATGATACTATGGATGTTACATAGCTCCACACCCTTCACCTTTAGGGAGCAGTTTATCTTCCGGAGCTATGAGAAGGATTCACTTTTTGCCAGGTCTATATACCTGTATCATCATCTGTTTGCCTGCAAGCATCCCTGGTGAGAAGCAACAGATGTAGGTGGTTTGCAGACTCTCCACAGGATTTCACTGTATGATTCATGGGGGGGGGGGGTGAAGCACTGTTGCTTCACACCTCTGGGACCTGGGTTTGAGTCTCTGCCAGGGTTCCGTGTGTGTGTAGTTTGCATGTTCTCCTCGTGTTGCTGTGGGCTTTCCTCCAGATACTCCGATTTCCCCCCACAGTCCAAAAACATACTGAGGTTAGTTGGACTTACCAAATGGCCCATAGGTGTTCATGTGTGACTGAATGGTTGGCACCCCATACTGGGTTGTTCCCTGCCTTGCACTCATAGGCTCCGCAGCCTGTGCGACTCTGAAAAAGTTAAGCAGTTACAAAAAGATGGATGGATGGATCCATGGATTGGTGCAAAACATGGTTCCATGAAAGTTGTCTCTGTGAGGACAAAGTGAGATGGTGTGGTGACTGACGGTGGGCCAGTATTCACCATCATGCTGAAGGTCCAGTCAGTAGGTGGACTGGATAACCATCACTGTTTCTAGTTCAAGCATTCAGAAACACCAAAAAAAAAAAAAAACAACAGGCAATATACCTGCTGTTAGACCTCAAATGAATAACAAAGTACATTCTAGTCTGCTTTACCTCACGCCTGCAATGCTCCTCTAAGTTTAAGCTGGATGGTATCTTCAGGTGGTCCTTCAAACATGCACCACCTGCAGCCATGACGTTGCCAATGCAGCAGCCCCCTGCAGTAAGCTGAGCAAGCCACAGAAGTCTTCATAAGGCTGTTTCTCCCATCTAACCCTACGTGGAAAACTGAAGCTATTCTGCCACCCCAAGTTTGCTTGCCCCCGCTCCTGCTGACGGACACTGGTGAACCACTCTGAATAGGAGATATCAGAGCCAAGAATAGAGCCCGAGGTGTATACTTAGTCATAAACAAGTAGACCTACATATAACAATGATGGCACACGTTAAGTAATTTAGCACCAAATAAACATAAAAAGATGCTAAATGTATTCATTTAGCATTAATCCATATCTCAGGACATAATGCCATTAAATTCATTAGCTGTCATTAGCAGGAGTATGAGTGCAAATTCACACCAACCTTCTTCATTATTAATGATTATCTGTTACCAATATAAAGGTTGACAGAAAGAAATTATGGAGCCACGGCAATCAGTTTAGTCAGTGTTTTTAACTGTAAGATTCACTCAATAAGCAATTTGATTGAGAAAAACTGAATTTAGGGCTAAGCTCTAAATGAACACAGAACGTGCAGTTTGTCTGCAGGGCTCAAAGGGGGCATCGGCAAGTGTTTTTGCAAGTTGGAGAAGAAAACCTTTTTCACAAAGGATTCTGTCCCTTAATGCAACAGATTTTTAGGGGTTAAGTTCTTTCACGTTGCAGAATGGCAGCGGTACCGATTAATCAGTTTCAAAATTATGCTGTTTATTAATGCATGTGCGCCCCCTTCTGGAGGTTTTCAGCCTTTCAGAACTACATTCACATTCAGTCATTGCACCATTTAAACAGAACATTTACTGAGAAAATACATCTGAATTTATTGGTTACAAAGCTGATTTTACTAGCAGTACAAATCAGAGCTTTAAAACACTGATTAACATCCAGTCTTTTCAACATTAGGTGAGCAACTCATAATATATAAACCACAACAATCCTGGTCACCTTTGCATGTATGAGACTTGACCATAAAGGTCATTCAAATAGAGTGAGGTCCCGAACACCCCACTGTTGGACATGCCCTCAAGGGGAGTATTAAAATGAAATCAGAATCAGTACAACATCTTCATTCCCCCCCCCCCCCAAAAGGCAGCCTGAGATGGTCCAAAAACAATCTTCATTTGGATAATCTTATCTGTTATCTTCAACAATGATGGTTCTCCGTGGGTATGTATCAACATCCACAAAAATGTAGCGAAATTCATACTGCCCAGTTTCAGGATTCTATTAAAATAAAAAGGATAAGTATGTGTGGACATCAAGCAAAGCACATTTTACCATTTCAGCAGACTCAGCACAAAACTCATGACTGTGAAATCAAGGAACTGAACTGAAGAGATAAGGATGTGGCCTTACCTCTTTCATCTCTGTGTGCACCGTGCCCTGCATCCGGGGTTCAGCACCCTGAATGTAAAATTTCAGCTGCATATGCTTCAGACCATCCTTAATATACTCCACATGGCTAGAGGAGGAAAATACGCTCATGAGCAACTACTCCAGATGTGCATACTGGCAAAGTAACAGCCAACCAACAGTATTTAGTACAAAAGCTTCAACAGATTCAATTTTTATCCTTGAATGAGCTATACAGCTGGGGATATTGATGGTGCTGCAGAGGTGATTGCATGTATTTAGCTGACATTTTTGTCCAAAGTGACTAACAAGTGAGAGAAGCTTGGAGCCAGAGAACAGGGGCCAGCCAGTGTCCCTTGAGCAGCGGGTTAAGGATTTGAACCCACAACCTTCTGGACATGGGAACAGATGCATATACACCACATATGCAGTGGTGAAGCTTCACAGCGGCACACAAGATGTGCCATGTCCTTGCAAAACTGAACAATTACCTCAAAAACATCCTACTGAGGTCAAGTAAAGGTTAAATCTTACTTAGAGTACACCATACTACAGCACCGTGTTCTCACCTAACGTGCTGCCTTCTGCCTCGCCGAGTTGTTTCTCCGTACCCTTTGATTGGCTCTCCAAAAACTCCAATGACCTCAAGTTTTAAATGGAAAATAGTACTCAAACTTTATACAAGGTCTGAGCAAACTGTTACTGCAAACTGTTACTACACAGACACACACAAACACAATCACACACACTTTTTAGACTGCCAGACTTACTTCTGGATGTGCTCTGCATTTTTCCAAAGCTTTCCCATAGATCTTGCTTGGACTTGATGATGAAAATAACTCTTTAAAAACAATGTACAGGAGGCCTCCTGTATGACAAGAATTATTGGGGTGCAGTGAAGGGAGGGGAAAAAAATCAGCCGGTAATTTACATTTTTATGTAAATTTTTTCAGTATGCATTTATGAATTTAAGATTACAAGCAAATGGCCCATGACAAAAGTGACGAAAAAAACGGTAATTACAGGTGTCAAAATGAAATAAACATCAATAAGCTTAAAAAAACAACAACAGATCTACTTATTATATACAATTCTAATGAAATGAAGTAGTTTACCTGTAACTCCAATCCCAATAACCACGACTATCAAGTAGGTGAAATCTTTGCTTGCTTGTTTAACTACAAAAAAGTGACAAATCAGAGAACAAGCAGTATGCAACTACACATATACAGAAAACAATTCAGATGACATCCCGTGTAAATTCAGATAATACTACAATTTGCGTCATCAAACAACGCAACAATTTTCAAACAAAAGTATCACTTCTGACTATTTATAATGGGCACGTAGCAGAGCGGGGGTTAACCCAGTGGCCTTAGACAGTAATCATACTGAGCATGGCCTTTTACCCATCACTGCTCCAGATCTGCTGCATACTGGCTGGCCCAGCTTTCGGACCCCAAAATGTGTCTCACGGAGAGTATCACGGGGCATGCGAAAACCGAAGAAATATGTACAAAATATGTATGGCAAAGATGTAAACCAACTAGGAGAGTTTTAATGTCATACTGTGATCACTTCACAACAACGAAACTGAAATAAGATCTGTCGTACTGCATTGAACAATATGCAAATACAGTTAGACAAACTGAAATTGCGTAAAGTCTGTCCTTGCTCCTTACCTTTCTGTGCAGCCGGTATCGCCGGATCGTCGCCTCGCCTTCTTGACACGGTCACCTTCCTGTTCTCACTTTCACTATTCTTCGCTTTACTCCTTAACCCGACGTCGAGGGAAAACCCCCGTTCGAACTGACACGTAGGGCCGCAGCAAGGTCGCGCCAAGCCGTGCAAAGGCGCCGGGGCTCCGGCTGCGCTCCGCTGGACGCGATTAAACACCCGCAGGGCGCACCGGGCTGCCCGAGCCTGCTGAAACTGAAAGTACGCGGCTTTGATTACCAAAGAGTACACCATGCTGTCTTATGTCAGGGATCGGGGATCTGCAACTACTGCTGATAG